GCCCTAAGGCAGACGCCTAGGATCCTGGCCCAAACGGCAGATCCAGGCCCAATGCCTCAGGGGTTAGGTCCGAAGGGCAGGACCTCAGGGCCAAAAAGCCCACGGACCTCGGGCCAAAGGCAAATGCCCAGGCCAAAATGGCCCAAGGCAGAAGCCCCAGGCCCAAAGGCCCAGGCAAATGCCCAAAGGCCTAAGGGCCCAGGGGCATACCTTAGGGTCGTAGATCCTTTATTATATAAAATAAATAAATAATAAACTTCTACAACTAATTTAACCCTTAAAAATTAACAATACCCTTAAAGACCACCCTAATGTAAATCCCTCCCACTGTCATGAAAAAGAAAACCCTTAAATAAAAATACCCCTACTACTACTCTCACTACCTTAATTAATAACCCCTACTGTTATAATGTAAGCCCTTGAGCACTATCATACCTCTTAATTGAACACTCTCTACTGCCCCTACTCTTAAAACTCCTCTACCACTACAACAACCCCCTGAAAACTAGGCGGCCCTTAAAATAACACTTAATAGCACTATCCTACTCACTACAATAACCTTACTTAACTCTTAGCCATGAAAATATTCCAAACTCCACAGCCTTAGCAGATCTTGATGACAACTGAGACTCCTACTAAGAAACATCCTACTACGCTTAAACCAGATGAATACTTAAGCCTCACTGCCATTAAAATCGATTGAATGAACTCAACCTTACTGTCCTGGAGCTTTAATAAATGAGACACTTAACAATTAACTATGCCTTACTGTCATAACCCTAAATTGAAAGATCATTACTGTCATAAACTCTAATGAAAGCGCATACTTAATCAACCAGTCCTTCCGAAACCTCTCAACTGTCATTACAATTAAAACTCCAAGCGTAAGTTAAATCCAAAGCTGAAAAATGCACGATGTCTTGCGAACCAAAGGGAAGCAACATTGCACGGCCAACCCTGTCTGGAGGTCCAAAGACCGTACGACAGGAGGGCCAGGGGTGACCCCAAGGAGGGGAACCTAGGGACAGGCCTCTACGAGCAGCCGACCAGGGTCCAGGACGGGGGTCAGGTGGACCGAATCTCGGGGAGCCAACGGATTCCATTGGAGCCCCAGAAAGAGGTCCATCCCACCCTTTAGGGTGCCCCGTTCGAGCCCA